GGGTGGGAGGGAAGGAGGGAGGGAGGGAGGGAGGGAGGGAGGGATGATTAGGAAAGCGGAACTTCTGCTTCAGTATCCATGAAAGTCGGTTGCAAGTGTGCGCTGCCACGTACTCTTGCTCACACTGGGATGGTGGTTGGCTTTTATTGTGTTTTTTTTTTTTCACTTTGTCTTTTGACGTAATCTGCTAACATTGATCTTATCCTGCATGGCAGGTCATTGATTAATAGGGAGGCGTCTAAGCATGACGATTGTGAAGGTGGGAGGGATTGTGCTTCTTTTGTGTTTTTCAAAATTTTCATGTTCACGTTGTTCCTGTGGTTTTGTGCATGCAGATCATCTGTCGGTGTGGAGGTAACTGCCAGATCGACTCTCTGATGTTGCAGAATATAAACTAATTTCCATCCTCCATATTGAAATCGTCAACATCCTGCGGAAAAAAATGCTTCCATGCATGCATGCTACTGCTTGAACGTGCATTGCACCAGACTTTTCTGAATTCCATGACGTCATTTATTATCACTCTCCTACCCCCCTCCCCTAAGCCCCCTTGTCCCCTTCCCTCAAGAGCCAGTAGCGCAATGAAAAGGGGTACTACCCGGTTACTTTGTTAGAAAACAGCATAATGCAAGGACAAGGATAGAGGAGCAGCGGAGAAAAAGGAGGACTAGGAGAGGAAGGTTTGTTTCTGAGTCAACCAAAGGATGAGTGGAGCCCAAAAAAAAAACAGAGGGATGAGATGAGTGGAGCAGATGCGGGCTTTCAGTACGTGAACCATAATGAGGACTGCCGCTGCACTTACCTTTGTTTCATCAATTGGTTCACACCTTCACAGCAGCAGTGGTCGTTACAATGTGAAAGCACTGATGCTGCAGTGGTGGATACTATGTGAAAACACCAATCGATGAAAGAATGGACGTAGTAAAGAAGCTGCTGTGGTCATTACAATGCGAAAGCATTATATATTGGTTTGGTAATAATTCCTATTTGCATCTATTTATTGTTGCGGGGGTAATTAACACACACCTAGAGGTCAATGCTATTTTGTTTCAGAAAGGTGTCTGCTGGACGAAGTTCCCCTTTTTTTGTTTCAGAAAGGTCGTACCACCCTGTTCCATAGACGCTCCCACACAAAACGATGTTTGTAGTGAAGGAGCTTAAATTTCAACGACGACCATTGACGGTACCTTGCTTGAAAAGCTCTTGCTAAGCTTTTTAAATGAGATAGTTACAGGCGGTTTTGAATGGGCAGCCACCGTTCGGCGAGAACGTGGACAGAATGAAAATCATCGACTGGGAGTACTGGGAGTAGTTATTGTCGACTTTGTTCATGCTTCCATTAAACCACTAGTACCTCCGCCCGTGTTGAGAAAATAGGGAGCACTAAAGTGGTGGGCAGTTTTCCTGAACTCCAAAAGAAACGGAGGCCGTGCCCGACAATGGATGCCATTGATAAATCTTATCGGCGGCCGTCGTTTCGTTTCGGCCTCCTGAAAGGTAGGAGGCCCAACTGAGGCGCGCAATGTTCCCACTCAGCAAAGGTGTACTAGTTGCTTAACTTAAAAAATAACTCGCCATGCGGGATGGAACAGTTATTATCACCAAGCTGTCTGGAATATCGTCTGTAGCAAGCCCCGTATGTAGCAAGCCCTTTTGAACGTTATGTGAATCATATGTGGATTTGAAGTGGCTGTACCAGAATTTGCAGCTTTCCATACCCCTTCCTCGTGCTAGCGGAGCTGCGCTGGCTCTTGATGCTGTCTGGCATATTTTTTGTAACATTTCCTTCGGAACGTCATGTCAATGATACGGGGTCGTGTAGGACAGAGTTGAATTCTTTTCCGAAATCAGTGCTTGAAAACGAAATTCGAGGAAAAGGATTGGAGGGCAAACGGCGAAAACAAAAAAGAGAGAAAATTAAAGCAATTCATTTGTGAATCATAAGAGGGGCGAAAGTCGTGCAAAATTCGTTGTGAGTTTTGAACACGAAAAAAAAAAAACATAATGACTCGATAAAGAGGAAGATCCATTCTCGTGAGAGAGAGAGAGAGAGAGAGAGAGGACGTCAGCCAGTGTTTGATGCCGAGTTTGGTGCATCAGACACTGGCTGAGGTCCTCTCTCTCTCTCTCTCTCTCTCTCTCTCTCTCTCTCTCTCTCTCTCTCTCTCTCTCTCTCTCTC